CGTCCATCATTAAACAGGGGTGGAGGCCTCCGGGTTCAACTGTCCCCCTCTTACAATGCTATGATTGCTAGTATCACTCAGCCCTCTGTGAGTAGTAAACAGCCATCAGTGTGCTAATGACCCATTGTTAGGCTGATGGTCCTTCTTGAGCATGTGATCAGCTGGTTTTGGTTGTCAGCAGCAAAACTGGTTGATCCACTCGGAGAAGGTGCTATTTAAGAGACTGAGCTGAAAACAGCTCCTCAGACTGAGGAAGTCTCTCGGATGAGAGACGAAACGTTTCTACATTTTTTTGTTTATTTGCTTTGTTTTTGTTTTTTTTGAATGTCCAGAGGACCAGATTTAACTTTTTTAGATCCTTAAGATTCCTTACAGTGGAGGGGAAGGGGCGTGATTAGCATTTAGTCAGCTGTTACTGGCACCACTGGTGCCAATAACATTAACAACATATCATTCAGATCAAATGACAGAATAAGATAAGATGGCTCACACAAGTATCATTATATAATGAAGTATCACACACACATACAGGTTTCCCCTGACAAAAGCATAAAGAAAATTCAGAATACACAACCTAGAGATTTGGACAGTAACTGTGGCTCAGGATGGTGTCAGGTAATTTTAGCTTCATGTATAAAAGTAGCCTAACACTACAGTAAAGTTGGAGTTTACGCTGGGCAATTCTGGCATTGTTTCATCCATAAATTGACGTTAACACATGATGTAAACATTATTCAGCTTACAGGAATGGCATTGTAGTAATTTATAAAAAAAAAAACTATAAGGTTAGTCTCATTAAAACACAATTAGTTCATCTGCATGAGAGACCAGTTAATTAACCAAGTAACTAACAAATTAAATCACAATTCTCTCAGGAATTACATGAATAACATTTCATGGGGTCTGACCATTTGAAAAAACAAGTAATTTGATTGGTTAGTTGGTTCTCTCCACATATTGGACAACCACTGAACCAGTATTTTTGAACCAACATCTATAGTCCAAATTATGATCAAATGTTTAATTTGTTTGTTTTTAAAGTATTCTTAAGAAACTAGGAGAAAATCATAGATTGGGAACTTGTTGAAAATTGTCAAAGAATATCTTTTACAAAATCAAAACAAATTTTATTTGGGTGTTAAGATACCAGTTGCAGCTCATGGCCTAGAATAGCTATTTTAATATTTTCAGTCAGAAAGTTTTCACTCTTGTGTGGACTCTCATGTGTCTGTTTAAACTCGACTTCTGACTAAATCTTTGTTCACAAAGTTCACAAGGAAATGGCTTGCCTCCTATGTGGACTCTCATGTGTGAGTTTAAAGATGTCTTACGACTAAATCTTTGTCCACAAATTTCACAAGGAAATGGCTTGTCTCCTGTGTGGACTCTCATGTGTGAGTTTAAAGATGTCTTATGACCAAATCTTTGTCCACAAAGGTTACAAGGAAAAGGCTTGTCTCCTGTGTGGACTCTCATGTGTGAGTTTAAACTTGACTTCTGATTAAATCTTCGCCCACAAAGTTCACAAGGAAACGGCTTGTCTCCTGTGTGGACTCTCATGTGTGAGTTTAAATGTGTCTTCTGACTAAATCTTTGTCCACAAAGTTCACAAGGAAACGGCTTGTCTCCTGTGTGGACTCTCATGTGTGTGTTGAAACTTGACTTCTGACGAAATCTTTGTCCACAAAGTTCACAAGGAAACGGCTTGTCTTCTGTGTGGACTCTAATGTGTTTGTTTAAACTCGCCTTCAAACTAAATCTTTGTCCACAAAGTTCACAAGGAAACGGCTTGTCTCCTGTGTGGACTCTCATGTGTGAGTTTAAACTTGCCTTCAAACTAAATCTATGTCCACAAAGTTCACAAGGAAACGGCTTGTCTCCTGTGTGGACTCTCATGTGTGAGTTTAAACTTGCCTTCAAACTAAATCTTTGTCCACAAACTTCACAAGGAAATGGCTTGTCTCTTGTGTGGACTCTCATGTGTCTGTTTAAACTTATCTTATGACTAAATCTTTGTCCACAAAGTTCACAAGGAAACGGCTTGTCTCCTGTGTGGACTCTCATGTGTGAGTTTAAAGTTTTCTTCTGACTAAACCTTTGTCCACAAATTTCACAAGGAAACGGCTTGTCTCCTGTGTGGACTCTCATGTGTGTGTTTAAAGTTTTCTTCTGACTAAATCTTTGTCCACAAACTTCACAAGGAAACGGCTTGTCTCCTGTGTGGACTCTCATGTGTGAGTTTAAACTTGACTTCTGACTAAATCTTTGACCACAAAGTTCACAAGGAAACGGCTTGTCTGCTGTGTGGACTCTCATGTGTGAGTTTAAATGTGTCTTCTGACTAAATCTTTGTCCACAAAGTTTACAAGGAAATGGCTTGTCTCCTGTGTGGACTCTCATGTGTAAATTTAAACTGTCCTTCCGACTAAATCTTTGTCCACAAAGTTCACAAGGAAATGGCTTGTCTTCTGTGTGGACTCTCATGTGTCTGTTTAAACTTTTCTTATGACTAAATCTTTGTCCACAAAGTTCACAAGGAAACGGCTTGTCTCCTGTGTGGACTCTCATGTGTAAGATTAAATGTGATTTGAAAGTAAATTTTTTACCACAGTCATCACATCTTATTGATTTTGGCCTTGCCTGGACTTTCCTGCGTGACTCTACATTTTTCTTCTCTCCAACACATGTCTTTTTAAGCAGACATCTTGAAGACTTCACTCCTGAATGACTTGTCATGTGTCTTTGAAGAGTCCGGTTACTGACACACTGCTTATCACACTCAGAGCAGCTCAAAGATTTGTTGACAGTTTTTACCTCTGATTCAGGAGCCCTGCTCTCCTTCCAGTCTTTCATACTGTCTTCACGTTCTGATTCAGAGTCTGATGAATTCTTTAGCAGAGAGTCAGGATTGATCATTTCACCATCCTCTTCATTGTCCTCATTAACATCAGTCTTTGAAGAGCTGGAACTGTCTTTGTGAGTCTTTAAATCTGGGTTCCTGCCTGGTAAGTTTTTTTTATCCTCTTCACTCCTTAAAGGAACTGTAGTGACCAAAAACCTGATATCGGTCTCCTCCATATTGAGTTGATCTCCCACCAGACTGGTCTAAGGGACTTTTCTTCCACTCTATGATAAGTGGCTCTGGGTCCTGCTGGTCCACATCAAGCCTTCAGACTTGAGGAGCTTCTTCTTTTAATCAGCTCTAAACAGAAGCAGGGACCACTGAAACACATGAACATTAAGGACAATGTTACTTCAAAACACACACACACACACACACACACACACACACACACACACACACACACACACACACACACACACACACACACACACACACACACACACATACACACACACACACACACACACACACACAGGTTTGTTTTGCTATCTTTGTGGGGCCTTTGCATTGACTTCCATTCATTTTTCATTCATTTCTATAGCCTAACCATGACCTTTATCCATAACCTAACCATTACCAGTACATACCTAACCCTAAACCTAACACATCCTCAATTCACACCTTAGTCCTAAACCTAGCCCCTAACCCACCAACGGGACTTCTTCTTATGGGGCCCGGGCTTTGGGCCCCATAAGGAGCAGTTGGTCCTCACAATGTAGTATAAGTTGGAAAAATGGGCCTCACAAAGTAGCATAAAGGACACACACACACACACACACACACACAAACAAACACAATTTTACCCTCACAATCACCATCTTCTGTCTGCATATACATCAATACCAACATATTACTACAAAAGAACAATTTTAAAGGCAGAAAAAAAATCTAATTTTAAGTTATTCTGCTTTGAACAAAGGACCACCTGTGATAAATTAATTTTTTTAATATCACCCTTTTTAATTTAACCAAGTTACTCAACAGCTATATCTCCCTTCCAGTGTCAACCTTTAGTTTTATCAGAGAATAAACTTGCTCATTATTAAGGTTGTTGTTATAAATGACAATTTATGAATTTTCTTGTTGCTAAAAAATACTAACATTAAAAACCACAATTGGTAATAATACAGGTAAACAGCCTGCTATTGAGAAGGCAGCATTTATATTTCTTATTTGATCATTAAATGCATTTCATTTTTCATACAATGTTGTTCCAAATAACAATTTAGCTCATCCAAATCCCCCAAACCATGTTTTTAATGCTTTAATACAGTGTAGGACTTAAATTAGCAGATATTTATGATGAATTAAAAACACCTAAAACTGACTCCTTCACAGAGATAACAGTTGGAGGATTTTGGACAAACAAAAAAATCACAAGTTAAATAGACACACCTTTGTTCAAATATACATATTTTAGTGTTAATATTGTTTATTTCCAAAAACTAAAGTAACAGAAACAGCAAATTATACAGTGACAGGCTGTGTGCACTCCCGCAGGTCACCATTATAAGTCATCAGATGTGTCTCTCATTGCCTGCTCATCTCTCTGCTCCTCTCTTCTCCCCAGCTCTACCTGTCTGCTCCTCTCCAGCTAATATAGCATCACGTATGGGGGCTATGCCTCGTCCTCCTCTCCCTCAGGTGGTGGAAGAGTCAGTGAACATCCTTCTGTGGGTTCAGCTTCTCTGACAGATGTTTTTAAAAATCTGCCAGCTTTGATATGGTCTCCAGTTCTTTTTCCTTTTTTTAAAATTTATAAATTTTTATTGACATTTATAAATATATTTAACAAATAAATCCACTTCAGTTATTAGTAGAGTATCAATTTAAATGCTTTTTTAAACAAGAAAAAAAATAAAAAATAAAAAATAAAAAAAAAAAACACAAAGGGAGTGAAAGTGTGTTTTGTTACAGTCAATATATCATTCAGAAATTACTAGGTCTGGTCTAGGTGATTTTATATAAACCATCCATTTCTTCCAGCGTAAAATAAATCGGTCCTTTTCATCATTTACTTCTACAGTTATTCTCTCCATCCTGTATATGTCCATTGTCCATTATCTTACAAAAAGATCTGAAGCTCTCGACCTTGACCTCTCTAAGTGGCTTTAAGAATCTGTTGGACTCCTGGCAATGACCAATGCAGACATGTTCCTGTTTTTAGATTTCTACATTTGCCTTATAATCTAGCTGTTTTTGTTACTTTTTTGCCATCTTATTCGTTTGAAAAAAAAACAACAACATCTGTATACTTTTTTATAAATGTCTATTGTCGCTGTTGTCCATTGTTGTTATCTTTCTTTGTTGAAATCAGGTCTCTCTTGTAAATGAGTCCTCGAGGCTCAATGGGATTTACCTGTCTAAATAAAGGGTGAAAAATTGTGATGTCCATCCATATGTTCAATGTTGGGCTCTCCAGTGAAAGCCAATTTTTCGTGAGGGCTTTTTTTCACGCCACTAATAAAATATTAAAAAGATATTTATCTATCTTTGACCATCCTTCAGGCATGAGTCCAAAAAACAAAACTTTACTTTCTACAGGCAGTTAGACGTCCAATAATATCTTGTATTGCTTTATGTATCTTTTTCCAATAAGTTCTAATTACTCGACAGTCCCAAAAAATATGGTACTGATTTGCAATTTTATTTCCACAGTTTCTCCAGCAAGCTGGAGAGTTACCTTTATAGTGGGATTTCTGGTAGTGTAGGGTTTCTGGGGTCTTGTCATACATGTTGTGTTTTTCCTCATGTTTGCCTGTCACCCCTCAGCATTTCTCCTCCTGTGTTCCAGCACCGTCACACCTGTGTCTGATCTTTATGTAGCCCTGCTGAAATTTATCATAACTGGGAAAACTTTTATTTGACCACTTTCTGAACAGATAGGGCTTAGGTAGAATTTTTCTGACAGTTATGTTTGATTTGAGCTGTTCCTGGCTGTGTAGTAATCTGTCCAGTAGGTGTTTTTATTTTATTTTGCTAAGATAGTTTTTGTAGAAGGGTAAAAATGTGCTCCATATGAGAAGAAATCAAAATTGATTATTTTTTCCCTCATTGGTTAGATGTTTAAATGGTCTACAATTTTTAAATGCTGATTGGTTGAGGGGAGGGGGGAGCAGCGTGAGGAGGGCAGAAGAGGAGAGAAAAGGAGGAGAGAATGAGACGCGGAAGAGAAAAAAAAGCGAACACAGACAGGCGATAAAAAAAAAGACTAAAACTTGTCCAAAGTTTTAGTGGGAGTTTGGGTGATTGAGGTGACTTTGTATAGCTGCGATACGGAACGCAGCTGAACTTCACCAAGCTGAGGTATGCTCACAACAGCAGCTGTAGTGAGATTGCTGTGCAGCGACATAAGACCAGTGTGGGAGTGAGACGCCGGCAAACCAGATGAGTGTCTCAGGTGACTGGGGACGCCTGCAACGATTGGCGATGAGGGAGACTGGAATGTTGTGCTGACCGTCTGTGTTGAGGTTGCCGGAGCCGTGCCACATAATGTCAGGAGGTGACGCACACGGACACAGGAAATACTTCGGGGTCGAATACTTGCATCTTTTCATGACTCATTGGAATTAACGGGTTACACTGTAATTGGCCCCACTGCTCCCGAGCGTCTTCCAGGCCTGCAACGTGAGGGATTACTCTACATATACTTGATAATTTTTGAACAGAAAAACAGCGCTGAATTTTATTTGGGGGTTTGCATTGAATAGCACCAGCTGGATCCACAAGTTAATGAGTTCTTACAAGAGCACTGTAAAAATCTGATGGTTTAAATTGAAGAAAAATTGAGAAGTGTACAAGTATGATTTATTTAAAGGGCAGAATGTGCTTGTAAAATTAAATTTGTGTTTAAATTATATGCTTTTGTCTAAAGAAACAAAGCTTAACTGATCTATCACTAGGGTTGGGCATCGTTTGAATTTGAGCGATTCCGGTTCCGATTCTTCGTTTCGATTCCGGTTCCTATAAATTCTCGATTCCGATTCTTTTTAAAGGCGGAGTTAAAAAAGACATGTCAATTCAATTCAATCAGTTTATTTATACTGTACAGCGCCAAGTCACAACAGAAGTCATCTCAGGGCACTGAACAGAAACAATCAAGTACAAAAATAATAACCTATAACTCTGTATACCTGGATTATTGAGCATGGACTTTGTTGTTTTCAACCAGTTTGACACAACTGGCAACAAGGAAGAGGGCCGGCAATGGAGGAGGGGGGCGTGACAAATAGACCATCTTAGCACTAACATAACTGGTTTGTTCCACTTTGGAGTAAGCTGTTGGGGGAAGAATCAGTTTTGTGTCGTGTGTTTCCTTGACTGATGAAGCCTTCCGGATCAAAGGCAAAACGTTTCAGCACAAAAAAAGAAACTGTCCAGATGACCTGACTGAGAAATGTTGGATAAAAATAATAAGTTAACAGAAACTTTCATATAAAAAAAACAAGTTAACACTATTTAACTGAGAAGACTGCTTTGAATATAACTCCATCATGTTATAAATGAGCTAGTTAGCCAGAGTTCTTTCTGGATTAAA